CACCCCCGTAGGGCGAAAATCTACTCAAAAAAAAAAAAAAAAAAAAAAAAAGAAGAAGAAGAAGTAGGCAAGGGAATAATCAGGAAATTGGTCCTGTGCTCCTTTCCTGGCCTTGACACTGGACGTGTGGAAGGAGGGAGCAAGTCAGAACACCTGCCTGATGTTCGGGGTTCTTTCAGGAAGCTGGATGCTTACCTACACCTTGGTCCTCTGGATCCTGCTCGAGAGCAGGAGCCCTTTCAGACCACATGCATGGGTGCCAAAGTGACACAGGCCTGAATTGGAATCTCACTTTCACTTACTAGCTTTGGTCACTTATTTCTTATCAGTATTCTTCACCTCCATGACATATGTTTGCTTCATCCATAAAGGACGTTTGTGAAGATTGAAAGGAATTGCTTAGGTAGAAAGGCCCTTGCTGAGTCAGGCCCCTCCCCATCCCCTTCTCTCTGCAGTGCCAGGAAGAGCAGGTGGCAGTCGCAGTGGTGGGGCAGGTACTTGCCATCAGGCCAGGCTCCTTTTCAGGGAGTACTGACATGGGAGCCAGCAGTGCTGATGCCAGATTTAAAGACTCTCTTATTTACAAGTATGGGTATTGCCCCTAATTCTATGCTTCTTATGAACGTGGTCTTTGACTTGAGATACATGTTGGTCCAAGCACCACAATTTACTAGCTGTGGGAGCTTGGGAAAGTACTACTCTCCTGGCCTTGACTTTCTCCTATGTTTCTAATTATATATAATATTTTTACATCTGTGTTCATAAGTTAAAATGGCCTCGATTTGCTGTGCTCTAGAATAATTAGTCAATCACCCACTTTATCCCCATTCTGCTCATTTTATTTGATTTAACCTCACAAGTTAGAACAATGATAATCATTGCCTGTTATAAAACAACAGAAGTAAAAACAAACAAATTATACTTTTACAAAGATAGGCCCATAACTACTAGACTGTTCTTTCTGCTAAAAAAACAAAAACATGAACCTGAACTATTTTAATTTCTACAGTCAATCTTACATGATGATTATTTTGATGAATAAATCAGCACTGAAATGATGTCTGCTTTTATACTCAGAAACGTATTCTAGCCTTGTTCTATCTTTATGTTTATAAGACATTTTAAAGGTCACATTGTACCTAGTGTTTGCTCTGAAAATATTTTGTCCAGAAGCAATAAAAATACACACTTACGGGACAGTTAATACATTTTCCTAAAAAATATGCATCAAGTGCACAGATATGCTTCAAAACAAAATGCATTTGCATTTAGTATTGTCAAAAATATGAGTTTTCGGCGTATGGTAAAGGAATGGTTCACATAATTCCATGAGAGGAACTCACAGTATGAGGAGAAAACTAGAACTTCATTAGTTCAGTCAACACAGTGGGGACGAAAGAGAAGAAGAACATGGCACGTGGAGGCAGGCAAGATTTGTTCCTCTTATAATTATTAACAGTTGTAGATTCGAATATTGATGGTCTAAAACACCAGTCATTACCCTTGGCAGAAAGCCCGATTGCTTTATTTCACAGATTCATTTTAGTTTTCTGAGATAGTTATGAATAGGGAAGGCAATTCATTTCTTTCCACTGTCTTCCTAATTGTTCAGAGAGTGATACATTAGTGCAACTCAGTTTAAATTTATTTCTTGAAACAGAACTCTTTAACAAAATGTTTGTTTAGGATGTGAACACTCTCCCCTTTATTGCCTGTAGACTGCTCTTGGTTACAAAAGCTTATTGGAAAATGAAAATATTCCTCTCATTTCTATAGCTTAACATTGTACATACACACACACACACACACACACACACGCACACACACAATGCCTTCTTTGTTGGAATCACTAAAGCAATGTAAAAATAATGCTGTTTTCCTAATTGAAAAAAGTCTTCCATTGTGTCATTATATAGAAAAATATAATGAAAGGGCATATATTCATCTATGCCCAATTTCAAAAAATGAAATTGACTAATTGTTAAAAAATATTCTTATCATAGTACCTTTCTTTAGTATGAGTAATTTCACCAATGAACATATACTTTATTATAATCATGAAACATAGATCTTGGGCCATCCCTGTAGCCTAATGGTTAAAGAAGCTAGATCCCATTGAAAAACATATCAGTGTCTGTACATATGTGCCTCAAATCCCAACAGGATGAAGAAATGGAGAACAGATTGTGGTATGACCATGCCCACTGGGAGGTGCTTTCTTCATAGCCCTCTCTTTCTCTCTCTCTCTGGCAAGCTTACACACTCCCTGAAAATTAAATAAAATAAATAAATAAATACAAGAACACCTCTCCAGTAGGAGATCATATATTTGTTGTAGAGAAGACTTCCAAAAGTTTAGAGGGGCCAGCAGATGGCATAGCAGTTACATCACTGGATTCCCACACGGCCAACCGTGGTTCAACTCCCAGACCCAGTGGCTTGAAAATCATGCTGGTGCATGTATATTTGTGCCCAAGATCCAGGAAGAAGAATGGAGGAGAAGGGACTGTGGCATGGCCATCCCCCTTAGGGATTTCTCACTTGGTCTCCTGGTGCTTACCACAGTCTGTGTTCCTACACTGACTGTATGGAAAGGAGGCAGAGTAAAGCTAACCCTACACACCTCAGTCCAGGCCCTGTGCCTAGTCTGTATTGTGAGTGAGAAGACATAGAGCAACAACAGTAGTTTAGGAATATTGAAAGGAGATTCGCAGCAAGTCACCAGTATTACCCTGTATCATCGAGTTCAAATCCCAGTAATTAGGGATCTCCTTGTTCTTGGGACAACCTCATTTATAGGTCTGGTCCCAAGTTTGCCTAGGGAAGAGGCTTTCTCTTAATAATATACCTGGTCCCATTCATCTCTTTCACTTATTACCCGCTTATTATCTGTAGCAAGTTTTCTATATGCCTGCTCTAAGTGTTACATTAAAAAAACTTCTCTTCAATATGGTTCCTAATTGTATGCTACAGACTTCTTTCCATTTGCCATGTTTATGGTAAATTTTATGATTTCCCTTTATTTTCGTCTACCATGCTTTTTGAAAAATGCATTTTGATCATTTTGTCTTCTTTCACAAAAATTTATCACTTTGTCCTTCTTTTAATTTTGTTTAATCTGGCCTGATTTTGCTGCTGAAAAAACACCTTCTTTTCCCAAGAAACAGTGTTCTTTTGAAATGCAAGAATCTCCCCTTATGTATTCTTACGTGCTTTTCCTGACCGTTAATTCCTGTGTTTCTCAAGTGACCAGTATATCATTATGTACTACACTGGAATAAGAAATATTTTCCTATGCCATTTATTTTGGAATAATTTTCAGCTTTGATAAACACATGCCCATATCCTAGAAGTCCAGAATGAAGAAGATTTATATTATCATTTCCTTAAGATGGGGGATATATACCCTCTAGCGAGTTATACAATCTCTTTCTCCAGCTTCAATGACTTTTAAAGGCTGGATTTGTTTTAGTGCCCTATTTAATTGATTTTCAATGTGCTGTCTGGTAAATTTTCCATGTTTCTTACTTTTTCAAAATTAGCTTGCTCTCTTGCCCTTTGCATGAAATGTATCATGGCTTTCTAACAAAATGAAACCTAGCAACTTTTCAATGAAACTTTCTTGTAGCTATTGAGAACAACCCTTTACTTTTTCCTCCAGCATCGGTTAAACTTTTGCAAGTATTACTTGTGTTTATTACTCTCACTGTATTCCAGAGGCTTGTAGTACCGACTATATAATTACTTGCATTCAATAAAAATAAAGCAGAGGGCCCCAGCCATAGTGGTGCAGGCCACTAAGATAGCTAGGCTGTGAACACATGGGAGGCCCAGGTTCATTTCCCAGTGCAACCTAAGGTCCAAGCACATGGCATGTGCCTGTCTGTAATCCCAGCAATTGGGGAAAGTTGGAAAGGAGGATTATGAGCTCAAAGCTGGCCTGGGTAACATAGCAAGACACAGTCTGGAAAAATAGAAGGATCTAGTGATACATCCCCACAGTTCCACTGAGCAGCCTGAAGGAGGATAGGGACAGTGAGACTCTGTCTTTTTTTGAGAGAGATTTTTTGCTATAGGGTGTATGTGCTCACTGGAGAGATAGAGAGACAGAATGTGAGAAATGACTTCCATGGGAAGTGGGCATGCCACAATCCCTTCTCCTCTCCAGATTTTGGGCATGCACATACAAATACCCATGAGTTTCAAGTTGCTGAGTTGGAGACTGAAAACGTGGTCCACCATGTGGGAGTTCAGTATCTTAACTGCTACTGTGCCACTTGCTTGCCCCCAAGACCCTATCCTATTAAAAAATAAAAAAAAGAGTAGACATAGGAGATTAGACAAATATGTTAATCATTTATTCTTGAAATAGGAATATGTAGATAAGTTTAGGTTAAAAAACAGTCCTTTGCCCAACTCTGCTTTCTAAATTTATATGCATTTCTTACTTTTCTTATGTTCACAGACTCTGTTCTATTCTCACCTAGTAGGCATTCTAAAATTAAAATAATTGTTATTTTTTCCCACTAAGACAAACAAGCAATTGCCGTCTGCAATTTCAAGTCTAACTCAATTCCCTCTTAGTTTTTCACCTAGACTGAAAATGTGTGTGAGTGTGTGTCACTTTATTTTATTTTATTTATATTATGAGAGAAACAGACAGGCAGACAGACACACACACAACATACACACATATGTGTATGTGAGATCCTTGACAGGATCTCACTATGTAACTACCCTTCCTCCAGCCTTGAGCCAGCCAGGATCATGGGTGAGTGCAGGCATGTCCATATGTTCAAGTCAAGTTGGGATCTAAAACCAGGCCCCCTCTCCCAATACGTACAGAATCATATAATAGCATCCTATTGCCTAAACTCCCAGGCCAGACTCACAAACATTATTTTAAATACACACACACACACACACACACACACACAGTCCCTCAGCTTAGCTAGAACAGGAAACTGGATGGCTGATGGAGAATCTTTTATACCAAGGATCACTCAATTCATTTTAATGATATTAAAGATACTAGTCTGCTAGGCAGTAAAGGGGAGGCAGAGATGAATAATACATGCTCCTAATTCTCAGTTCCTAATTCACAGTTCTTCACAAGACGTCTTCATTATGAAATGAAGCCAAGAGGTTTACCTGACTCAGACTCTCTTTATTGAAAAATATGGATGTTTTTGTATCCATATAACTTCTAATACTGGAGCCTCCCTCTCAATTGATTCCCATATTTGAAACAGACTGCTGTTCCATAGACTCTCTTGACATATACAGAGTTTGAATTGACCATATCCTCATGGAGTAGTTATAATGGGTTTTGGTGTTTAAAAGTTAAAAGCTAAAAAAAGTTTTTTAATTTTGTTGTTGTTGTTGTTGTTGTTGTTGTTTTTAAGTTAAGCTTAACTCCCTGGTAGGAGACCTCCCACTACCATTCCTAAATATATTCTAGGAAAATACATAGTGAGAATTTACTAATACAGAGAAGTATACTCTTAACATACTATAGAATTAAAAAATAATATAAAATTAGCCAATTCCCTTTTCTATCAGCCTGTGTTTACTTGTTTTCAATCCACCACCAATGCTAATATATAGTAATTATTTAGTGTTTTGCAGCCATAGACTACTTCTGTTACCACTGTGTAATATGATCTTTAAAATAATTCCATGCAAGAGACAGAACAGAGAAGGAAAGCGAGTCTTAGAGACTTTACATCTGTCTGTAGACTATAAGATTAATAAGTGGCAGAATATTCATTTCAAGGAAAGGAGGCATCACATTCCTCTACTATGTGCCAGGGACAAGGATAAGCACCATTTAAGCACTGACAAGAGCAAGATGAAAGACAGTTCCTGCCTGAAGAAGCCCATTTCAAACGGGGTGTGACTGGGCCTTTTCTGGGGAACTCAGGTCTCCTGGACATTTATTCAGTGGATTATTTTCACCGCACCGATGACTTGTCATTAGAATGTCCTTCCAGGCATCTTAAATTTTTTCTGCCTTTAAATATAGATCACCGTGGGAGAATGCCATATTTAACCTATATTTACTGCTAGTGATTTGCTATGAATTATTTGAGTCGATCCTTCCTAAATGATAGGTATAGAAAGCAGTTTCCTACAGAGTGAATTATAGCAGACATGTTGTTGTCGGGTGAAGAGGGTGAAGTAGCAAGGAGGGTAACAGGGCCTTCGGAAAAAGACCTGGGCAGGATGCAAAGGAGGAGTCTGGGTATTTCCAGAGAGCTAGCAGCAGCCCTGGCTATACTTGCCATCTACTTCACAATTTTACCAAGAACCAATTAAGACTAAGGACACGAATATGAAGTATTTTTTAAATTAATGTTTCCTAAACATCTTTCTCAAAGGGAGGCCTGGGTTAGGCTCTAAGGACTGATGGGGCAGTGAGCAAAATGTTCATCGTCCTTGCCGTTGTGCAGTTTATGGTGTAGTGGGGGCAGAGACATTATGGGATAGTTGAGACTGTATGCTGCTGAGAAAGAAGCTGTATGACAGGTGAGCCCACTTCAGTCTGGAAGATTACATTCTTTATTTGTGTTCTAAAAACTGAGCTGAGTCCTAGAGCACAAAGCAGAGGAGTAAATGAGTAGCAATCCAACCTATGGCCTGTTGGTTGAGGGAGCCGGATCAACATGGCTGACTGTGTGGTTGGAATCCCAGCCTGGTAGCTTGAAAAACACAGTGGACACATGAGCATGCATCCGTAATCCCAACAGGACGGAGGAATGGAGATGGGATTGCAGCATCACTATGTCCCACTGGGGAGTGATTTCTCCCTCTCTTACTTTCTCCCAGGCTAGTGTACATGCCCTCTGGCAAATTAAGAGAGAGACAGAGAGAAAGAGAGAATGACTGAGCAGAGTTATTGTGCTGTTATTATTTAAATCAACAATCAAACAGTTCACTCACAATAGCATTTTCAGAGAAAAGTGATAAAACAGTTTGTTTTCTACTTACATTCTCCAAATCTACTGACTTGACTTCCATGGTAACTTTTCTCATCTTCACAGAAAATGCATGTCTTCAAGAAGACCTTGCAGGCATTGATCTACCCCATGTCCTCCACCACCCCACACAATTTTGAGGTCTGGACAGCTACGACACCCACCTACTGTTACGAGTGTGAAGGGCTCCTGTGGGGCATTGCTCGGCAAGGCATGAAGTGTTTGGAGTGCGGAGTGAAATGCCACGAAAAGTGTCAGGACCTCCTAAACGCTGACTGTTTGCAGAGTGAGTACTTGGTTAGGTTGAAGTGGTATGCAGAGCCTGCCTTATCCCGTACATTTTCGGGTTAGAGCTGCTTAGCTCTTGCTGGTTTTCCACAAATTCTCCTTACCCCATTTCTGCCACTCATACGATGATACCCAAGTATAGTTGATGATGTTTTCCTACAGTGTTGAACCCTCAGAGCGAGGACCTGGAGTGAAATTGTACTCCCATCAAATACAACACATCAGAATGACTTCCAATCTGTTTTGTCATGTGTATTGCTTAATAGCCCAGGTGGTAAGTAGAAATATATAAAGTCATGTTCCCCAAACAGGGGCCAAGACACATTCCAGCAATTATCGCTGTTGGAATTCTTTTGCCAGCCTATTTGGCGCCTACCTGAAAAGATCCATGTCCTTCCACAGCTGTTGCATAGGCCTTGAAATTCAGGGATTTAGAACTAGAATGTAGAGGACAAATGTAATGTACCAGATATATGACCGAGGCAATTTTAAAGAAATTTTTGAGGCTTAGTTTTCCTCTATGATAGGAACAGGGAGAATGAAATTGATCTCAGAGGGTTATTGGGAAGACGAAATGAAATCATCTCTGCTAAGAGTTTGGCAGTTAGTAGATGCTCAATGAGTATTAATGGCCTCTCCATCCTTTCACACTTCTGAATAGGACCATGTCTAATTTTTATCTTAAATTTTTTTTTTCTAAACTGAAAACTCTCTGACACTTGAGACCCAGCAATGCCAAACATCATACTCTAAAACACATATTTAGACTTTTCACTGCTGTGTTGCTGAATTTATTTGTTAGTGTCCATCAACCTATATCACTAAAAAATCAAAAATAAAACAAAAAAAAAACTTTGCCAGAGAAATCTATCTAAGCATAGATAGTTACATTTTTTTTCACATCCAGATATGAAAGGATTTCCAAAAGTTAATGGAAAATGGAATTAGTGTACAAATGTATTTTAGTGTACGATGTTTGAAATCTATGTAGTGTTTTCATAATTTTCCATGAACTTTTTAAAGATCCATATCATTTCCTCTATTTATGGTTTAGATGAATGCTGTCAATGTAAAGTATGTGGATTACATGAAATCTAGGAATATGAGAGGAAAATGTCAAAATAAAGGTTAAATCAGAAATACTGTCACAGCTATTGGATAGTTAGAAAAGCCATGATGCATTTTTGCATAGAAAAATATATCATGACTTTTCTGACACACACGTGCTCTACAGTTTCCTCCACCTGTTAATATTCTCTCCATAAAACCATATGAGATTTATGCTATCAGCAAGAAGTAGTATCCCTTCTCTGAAAAAAAAAGTATATTTATAAATGACTGCTTAAAAGGAATAGGAATTGACTCAATATTGCTCATCTAATTTACTTGCAAAATCTTAAGCCCAATTACAACTCAATCTACTTGTTTAAAAACAAGTTGTGAACAAGCCTTTTAATAAATAAGCATGTTATAGAGCAGTGATGTTTGAGAAAATAGATACAGAAATTTTGCTATAAAAAAGGTCTTGATTCCTTAAGAAAAAAATGATGCAGATCATACCTAAGAAATATACTTATTTCTCTTTCAGTCTTTTAGAAAGGAGAGCTGCTACCCATTCATTAAACTTTAGAAACATTTCATAATCTATTTCTATTTCTTAAAATAGCATGAATTATTAAATATTGGTTAAATAGCAGAACAATGAAGACAGATGTGTATGCTCTAGGGAAAGGGTATTTTTAGCAATCTTTCCCTGATTTTTCCTGAAAATCCACACTGTTGTATTGATCACAGGTCCTGCATCTCTTTGTATTTAACTTCACAACTTTCACAACAGCTATTGATAAAATTTGATGTTCTCTCTACAGAATCAGTGACATTTTGGGGACTAGCAAATGGAGTAATGGTTATGTCACTAGACTCCCACATAGTTGACCACAGTTCAAGTCCCAGACCTGGAGGCTTGAAACTTACACTGGGCACATGCGTGTGTATATCCAAAATCCCAAGGGGAGAATGGAAGAGAAAGGATTGTGGGGTGGCCATACCCCCCTGGGGGTTGATTTCTCACTTTCTATCTCTATCTCTCTCTGTCTCTCTGGCAAGAGTACGTGCCTTATAGCAAAAATTTCTCAAAAAAAGTGACATTTTTATAAATTTTTCTTATTCATTGTAGTAAGCAAAAAAATACAATTATGGCAACTTGAATAAGATATCTCTACTTATGTCAACCCTGAAGAAAACAATCAAAAATTAACAGAAATCAGAATTGGAAGATATAACTAACTCAGCCAATTGTAATGTAAGAAAATTTTGGGGGCCAGCAGTTAGCGTAATGGCTATGTCACTGGACTCCCACGTAGTCGACCACAGTTCGCGTCCCGGACCCGGTGGCTTAAAACTCACACCGGGCACGTGTGTGTGCGTGCCCAAGATCCCGAGAGGAGAATGGAGGAGAAGGGATTGCAGCATGACCATCCCCCCTGGGGAGTGATTTCTCGCTTTCTGTCTCTCTGTCTCTCTCTGTCTGTCTAGCAAGTGCACGCACCGTATTGTGAAAAATCTCTCCAAAAAGAAAAAGAAAAAGAAGAAAATTTTATAATTTCCTTTTTAAAATGATCATTCAATCTTTAAACATCTCTGGGGAAACATTTAGCATCTTGATAGGAAGCTTAATTCATTACTAGAAAGCTTAATTCATTACTAGAAAGCTCTACCTCACAAGCAAATCTTTAAACCAGTGCCTTCCTCCTTTTAGCATCTGCCCATTTAGCCATGTCCTGTCCTAACTCTGGAGAAAAGATTTATTAAATTTACCTTTATTGTATATGACAGATTTTCAAATACTTGAAAAAAATCACCTAGTCTTCTTTTGGATTTCTAGACCCTTCATTGTTTTGCTAATCCTGTTCTGAAATCATTGCAGTCTGTCAACACATAAACACATGAAACAAACAAACAAACAAACACAACAGAAAAATGGAGTGGCCCCATGGCACAGCAGTAAACTGTGCTGCTATACAAGTGGACACACATGGCATCAGAGTCTCATCCAGAGACCCTTGCGAGTACTCCAGGCATGTATGTGCCTATGACCCAAGGCTGGCAGAGGCTGGGGATGGGTCAAGGCATCAAGAACTCATTGCAGGTGTTGTCTCTCTTTCTTTATCACTCATGGAAGAGATATGAAAATAAACTTCAAACAAAAGACAAGAAAAAAATTACCCTGCACGTGGACAAATCAGTGACCCATACCAAAGGGAGAATATTGGGTTGCCAGAAAAGTCATGGCAGATTTTTGCATAGGGAAAAAAAATCATGAGTTTTCTGACAACCCAATATATAAAGTTTACTTCAAATTGATTCATGTGGGAAATTTCCAATGAAATCCTGGTTTGTGACTTGCACACTTGTTGTGAAGAGCAATTGGACCAGGATTATAAAATCCCACTCACGGCCCCAGTACTTCCTTGCAGGTTCTGAGATGCATGGAAATGTTCGATTAGTTCCAAGCAGTCTCATCTTGACTCCCCTCTGGCTGACTTTACTTGGTAGAGTTCCCACAATTTACTCCCTTCCTGAACCAGGTCTGACAGCCACAAGGAGGTGGGTAGCGACACAGAAGACCAAAGGGAAAGAAAGAGAGCAATTCTTATGATTTCTTCTTCCCTTCAGTTCCAAGTCAGTGGCCACAGCCAGAGTCCACTCATTTTTTCTTTCATTAGCTCATTTGTGTCCTGTCATTTAGAAAAGACATTTCATTCTTTTTTTGAAAAAAAAAAAAAATTGGTGGCAGAAGAATTGATTTATGAAAAATGGAGGAGCAAGTTCTGACTGAATGATGTTAATATAACCTGTAAAGAAGTCACCATAGCACTTCTATGGTAGCTTTTCAATGGAAAAAAAAAAAGAATAAAAAGTGTCTCTTGGCTGGAAAGAGGGTTGTATGCAGAAAAAGTTAAATGTAAAAGAGAAATCATATGTATAATATTCTCTGTATTACTTGTTGCATTATTGTGCAACTCCAAAGGAATCCCAGAGTCCCACTGTATAGCATTCTGCTTAATTACAATTCCTCTTTAGAAATCTCGAGGACCTATATAAGTATTTCACCAAAAGTTCAGCAAGGCAGTGTCTTATGAAATGTATTCTTTAGTTCCATGTATTTCCCTTTGGCATTATGCTAAGCTTATACATCCTGGAATAAGGCATTGCAAATGGATAAAATGAATAAAATCTGACTAGCAAATTAGATATTGATTCTTCCTTCTGTATCGTCCTATTACCACAAAGATATTTGTATGTATTGAGTACCTACAGAGACTGGGAGCTTCAATTTAAGCTTTCAGAGCAAGAAAAAGTAAGCAATTTTTTCCCCAAGCTTCAACCTTATTTTTTTTTTTTATATTTTTTTTCCCATCACAACACACAAATGAATTTTCCATCCAAAATACACTGTGCATTGGCTCAATCAAGCACGTCAGCATATATGTTCTCAGCAAATAATTTCCCAATGCTTGTGTCCTGCATACCTTGCCTTTTGTTTTACCATCCTAGATTCCCCATCCCCCTCCCTCTGTTATGACCCATCCTCCTCCCACATTGTCCCTGGCATCCACGATTGCCCTCCGTGCCTCCCCCCTCCCCAAATGATCTGTCAGTGAACTTAATTAGTCTAAATATATCCAATAGTTATCGCAGCTGACACATACCTATACATGAACTCAAGTCTGACTTTAGGCCTAAACCCCAGTGAGTAAAAAGAGCATACTATAAAGTAAAACCCAGCTGGGCCCATACCGCTCACTGCAGCCATCAAATATCCATTTTTTTTTTAAATGGTACGAATAGTTTTACCGTTTTTTTTTGTTTTGTTTTTTGTTTTTTTTGTTACCTAACATTCATTCCCTGAGCATCATCACAGCGTACTAAATGTAATCTCCCATCTAGAATAAACTGCACAGTGACCCAATCAAGCATGTTATCATCAATAATATT